CCCCCACCCCCCGGGGGGGGGGGGGGGGGGGGGGGGGGGGGGGGGGTCCAATTAGAAGCAGAAGGGGAGGGGAGGGGGATTGGGTATTCGGGACGAAGTTTCAAGAGTCTCAAGGCTCGAGAGAATTCTGAAGCCCCCTTTCTGATGCGTCTGCAGTTCGTGTCCACTCCTCGCGTACTGATAAGTAATTCAATTTTTTCCCCAACTCCCTTTCTGCCCTGTGAAAATTCGACGAAATTCTGCGAAATTCGACGCTTGAGATGTGGAGCAACAGACTCCCTTGGTTGCTTTTAAAAATCCTTGCAGATCGGATTTAGATTAAGTTCAGCAGAGGCGAGGAACTGGCGTCCGCGGCTCCTTCGTCTTCACCCGCCTTGTTTACGCTGTTGTTCCTGCTCCATCCTTGAGATGACCTTTCGAGCTCTTCCGGGAGTGGAGTATGACGTCACGGTTTCCATGACATCCTGCGAGGAAGGACGCGGGGTTAGGACGGGCAGTCGAGCTGGGAGACTCGGAAGGAGAGGTTGGTGGCATCGCGAGTCTGACCATGAAGGCATTCGCAGATCGGGGGTGGAACGTCGATATCGTCTACGCGCACTTCGTCGCCGGGAGTCTCTGGATCGTCTTGAGCCTCTGGTGGCTGGTGAAAAGTTTGCAGCGGTGGAAGAAGACCGGCCCGGATGGATTTCACGGCTCCTCCTTCTACTGTGCCGGGAAGCGCGAGGTCCCCGTCGAATCCATCTTCAAGATCTTCGTCGGCATCGTCTACGCCAGCGGTGAGAATCTTACACTCTGGTTTTTCTCGAACGCGGACGAGATACTAACTGCATTTTTGCTTCAATAAACGATTACCTTGAACTTGATTCCTGACGGTTCGAGCGGCCGGAGCTTCCGAAACATCACTTCGGATGACGATACATATCTCGAATTTTCCTTGAAAAACGAAGAGGCACTCAACTGTCGTTATCTGTCGTTTCCATGGATTAGATTTATTACTTATTTGCTCCACGGATAGAATCTAGGCTGAGGCCTAAAAGTTACAGAATCATGACGTCAAACTTATTCCCCTGCAGATGTCATATCATGTCTGGGAATATAATCCAACTGGAGTGATGAAGCTCAGAGCAGTGAGCCACGTTCGACACGGATCCTGCCAGTTCCTCAATTCAAAACCTGGCCTGGATGGTGATCAGAAAATGCTGAAATTCCGATTCAGTGATTTAGTCCTGTTTGACACCCCCGCACGAATAACCCGACCGTAAGGGTAACTTGGGCACCCCCCAAAAGAGCGTATTTTAATTCTAATAAGATTACGCATCAGTTTCTACCTTTCCCAACTTGCTTTCAGTCCTTATTTTACATACTACGAGCTGCACACAAACCGCATAAAGGCATTTGTTCAAGCCCGCGGCCTAAAGATGACCTAATTCGACCGCTCTCCCATACTGTGGGAAAGTGGCGATATTGCAATCTGCTTGTCGCTTTATTTCTTCTTCATTCCGTCTGCCCGCAATTTCCATAGCAACCGGAAAACTCGACTCAGTGCGGATGCGCAACAGCCTGCCTCAGTCATCGACTCCACGACAGCCGGTCGAGGACTAAAACCTCCAGTTCCCTTCCTGCCCTCGCGAATGACGGATCCAGAGTAAGCAATGGGTGAAAGAAGCTGCTCGTCGCAGCGTAGACAGGGATGCTGGGCGTACTTTTGAGATGCCTTATCTGGCGTCTGGGTTTTACTGTACTCTCCCATCCTCACGAGACGCGGACACGCGAATCGTACGTGTAAATCGAGTTCTCCGCAATTGTTCCTTAGGCCTTTGACTGCAAAAGACAACTTTCATTTTATTTAATTTAATTTTTTTTTAGTTGAATTGTTGGGATGAAGTGGAGGGTGGTGATTCCAGAGGTATTGTGCATAGTGGAAGTGCAGATCTGTACCTGGGCTGGTACTTACACTTGAAATACGCGATAATGAACGATTGGCAATCAATCCTTGCAATATCTTGCGTTCCCGTTTTGCCGAAATACTCTTGTAAAAAAAAAATGACATCTTCAGATAACGAATATCGACATTCCGGGAACGCTCCATCGGAAATGTATGCTTCGATACAAACCGACTCCGACGGCTAAAAGTCCGACACGGCTGAACGCGAGACACGACACGAAGGCGCTAAAAAATCTGGGACTCCGTAAAGAATTCGGAAACTGGGAGAAAGTGGCTTCGTCCGAAGACTGAGATCGTTGGCGAAGTGATTCGAGCAAACTTTCTGGAGAGCGTGACGCTTTCTGGCTAATACGAACCGGAGTGAGTTAAGGCTATCGAATCGGCTCGCTGCGAATGACCAAGGAAATTTCGCATGTGAATGCTTATCATCCGGAAATTCATCCCTCGCAAGCGACAAAACTTTCTTCGACGTACCGCTTTCCTTCTTGATGTCACGAAAAGTAATTTTGTCATATAATATGAAAGTGCGCCATCGCATCCACTGACGCCACGGGTCCCATTAGGTAGATCTCGAAATCTCAAAGAAGCAGAAGAAGTCTAACTCCGTGCGGCGGAAAAAAAAAGCGGCAATCCTGCCATCTGGTAGTTCATCGAAAAAAAAAGAAGCAAGGTTCCAACAACCGTAGGAAGATGTCGCCTTTACCGCGGCAGTTAGAGTCATCCCTGTTGTGGCTTCAAAGGAAATAACTGCTTAAAAAAAATACATGGGCATCATAGCAATTTTTCACATTTTTTACTTTTAGCAGGTAATGTTTTTCAGTGTGCTGTGAAAAGTTACTGGTTAAAATGTTTGCGAAAATGTGTGGAATTTTCGGGAAAACATTTTGAACGAATCCTGTAACGTTCCTATGGTACCTGACATTAAGATTTAAAATAAATCATAAAATGCCTAAGATGCCTATCGTATATGTAATATGCATATAATATTCCTATAACTTCATCCCCATCCGACCGTTTATTTCGTTTTCGGTTCGTTACGCTCGACCTCGTGAGCTGATCGGGTCGCGCCCAAGAAACGTTGACGAGCCGCGATCCAACTAATGATATCGATGACGTCAGAGGACGCGATTCGACACGTTGCCATGCAGTTTCTGGCATACTCCATTGCAATACAATATCATTGGAAACGTGAATTAAAGCCGTGAAGTCATGGCGACCGCATCACTTCAAATTTTAACATATGGGTATCAAAATATCTTACTTGATCAGAGTTTTTCGTTTTTTTTGCAAGTTTTCTTTTAGCTCATGACGCAGGTTAGGCAGGCAAGTTTTCAAGGTCGCAACAGGAAGCAATGTAAAATAACGTGCCGAAAAACCTTGGAATGAAAGAAGCGGGCGGCATCAGTTCCATTTCCTTTTAAAGTCGCAGTTCTGTTCCATTTTTCGCTTGCTCTTTCCTTCTATGAAGAAACGTCTGTTCGTAATGTTTCTGCACGAGTCAAATTTTCTGTCTGTAGACAGAAAGTCAATGACTGTCTTCTCCCATGCGATGTTTTCTCGTAAAGGATAATAATCGGGATATGACGGTGGTATTCGATTCATCGGTATCCTAATTAGGTGACTCACTCGTATTTTTCGCCACTAGACATAATCTGCAACCAAAGGGATAATCTTAGAGATGATCGGATACATCTGGGAAAAGATAAGATGCAAGGGACAACCCCCAACTTCAAGCTCCCAAAAATACAAGCTCGATGTCACTTTTTGCAGTGGAGTATCACACGGCATTCGAGAACGGCGTCCTCGTCGCCCCGAAGCACTACCACCACGTGGCGGCGTTCTCGCTCTTGGCCGTGAGCGGGTTCGCGGACCTGGCGTTGAGGCGCAAGATCGTCTTCCCGGAGTCCATCTCGAACTTCTTCATGGCGTGCTTCCTAGTCTCCTACTGGTGGATCATGGAGAAGCATAACGACAACAGCATGAGCGAGGGGGTGTTCGCCGTGGCTGTGAGTAGCTCCTTTGAAGAATACATCGATCGCACGGAAAATTTACGGCCTGTAGACTGTTATGGGGCGATTGACTTTAGGAAGCGAATCCAGACTTTCTGAATTTATATTTTCTCTTTTGCAGACAGCACTTTTTTTTCGACGATGGCAAAACTGAATCTCATAATCTTACCTACAGTATTTCATGGAAATGAAAAATCATTGCAACTCCCTCCTAAAACCGAATCGAGAAGCTAAAAGATTCCCTCGGTTACTTCAGATGCACATTGGAACGGGAGAGGACCTGCTGATGATGGCAATGACCATCATCGTGGAGGCGCTGCACCCTCAGAGCCTGACGATCGCCCTCCTCCGACCCATCATCGGATTTCACCAGGCCGCGCTTTTCTGGACCATGACATGCACGCTCTACGCGCCCTGCATCAACTGGGATGAAAGGCACATCCCGATCTATTACGGCTGCTATGTCGGATGGTTCGTGGTGGTGACCACTCTCGTCTTGGGCGCCGTGATCTGGGTCAACCGGACTTTGCGCTATGCTCTATCGTAAGGCTTTTTAATGGGAATTTTAAATGTTGTTGCTTGCAGGAGGAAGGAAAGATTCAGTTGGAATTGATTCCCTTTTTTCAATAGCCTGAGTGAGAAAATACGTACTTCGCACGTGAATGCCTGCAGTGCTGCAAAGTCTGACTATGATTATCCAGAAATGAAACTTGCCGGACCTGCTACAACGACAAACGTCTAGTGAATTTATCCACAATATTACAATTCTTTGCTGTTTTTTATGTTTTACCCCATTCTTGTCTGGGTGAGGTTTCGAGAGACCCACCAGTACAACTCCTAACTTCTTTTTCTGTTAAGCTATTATCTGAACTTTTCTCCAATTTGTTTGCATATATGTGGTACATATGTAAATTCACCATATTTCTTTAAAATAATCAGCAGATGCAGGCGTGCCTATCCAAATTTTTGCCGGGAACACCGAGAAGGCAACTTTTTTCTCGTCGCGGTTCGACGAAAGGCTGAATGACGAAATTCCAGACGGGGTTTCGGCTCTGCCAGGCAGTGAAGGACGCAGGAGGACGTGAGGAACGCATGGGGCTGCAGAACATTGGCCTTTGGGAACCCCTTTGGAAATTTGCGGTCGCCTATTCGCCTCAACGGCACTGATCTCGTGAAGCTTTGGCCATATGACTCTTACCTAGCTCAGTCCCCCCCCCCCCCACCCCATCTAGAATAAGAACATGGAGACGAGAGCGAGAGATTAGCGCGGATGAGCAAATTCCATGGATGCAAGAATAACGAATGAGCCTCGAATGTGGTCAACCGACTGAACTTCCAATCCCCAACTTCCTGAATGACGACGAAATGGC